GCTTAGCAGCAACTGTTGACTGGGACGTACGGACGCACAGCTCAGCGAATGACGAGTGGAATGAATTGAAAGACAAAATTAACTGGGTCACACAATCAGCATCGAAGGTTGTACCATTACGAGCATCGCGCAGGACCAATACGTGGATACGGAGCGGAACACGTGAATGGATCAACAGAAGAGGTGAACTCTGGAGGCAACATTTGCTGAGCCCATGTAATATCACATGACAGGTTTACAAAGTCATGAGAAAATACTGCACGTCACTCATTAGAGTCGATAAGTACGAATGGCAGGAGAATATGGTGCTGAAATTTACGAGCAATACCAAACTGCTCTACAGATTTGTGAATGGCAAAAGAAAGGTTAAGCCCGGACTACCACCACTCAGGACGGCCAGTGGCCTAACAACTACTGCTGTGGATGCCGCGAGTGCTCTACTCTTGCAGTTTGGCTCGGTAGCCACAAATGTCATGGAACCTTCGCCCTATCAACTCCCAACAAATGTCGTTGGCTTATCCAGCGTCACCTTTACCCCAGCAGCTGTTGCAAGCAAATTTCAGTCTCTCCGGGAGTACAGTGCCCCTGGAATCGACATAATCTGCCCAAAAGTACTGAAAACCCTTGCTCCCACCATAGCAACACCACTTGCAACCTTTTTCCAGTGTCTGCTTAACTCCCATACACTCCCATCTGAGTGGAAAAATGGAATTATCACACGAATATATAAAGGAGGTAAGCGCTCGGATCCTGCTAACTACCGACCTATTACTCTCCTTCCTGTTTTGTCAAAAGTTATGAAATCGCTAATCGCAGATGAACTGACGAGATACTTTGAAAGTCAACAGATAATTGCTAATGCCCAACATGGGTTCCAAAGCAGACGATCTTGTCTCACCAATTTGCTGATTACTCGGGACTTATGGACCAGGACGGCTGATGAAAGAGTGCCCATAGATGTGATATACCTGGATTTTTCTAAAGCGTTCGACAGGGTCAATCACTTCTTTCACCTCCAAAACCTTGCTGCCTATGGTATCAACGGTTCCCTGCTCACCTGGTTGGAAGAATACTTACACGACAGAGCAATCAAGGTAAGAGTAGCCGACACCTATTCCGAAAGCCTTTACGTCTCCAGTGGTGTACAGCAAGGATCCGTCCTCGGCCCGCTACTATTTTTAGTCTACATTAATGGCCTTCCAGCAGACATTCTATCTCCAATGCAAATATTTGCAGACGATGCTAAAATATGGAGAGCCATTCGCTCAGCATCCGACCGTGTCTACCTCCAGGAAGATCTGACTCGGATTAACGAATGGGCAGAAAGGAACCAGCTCCCACTGAACCCTGCAAAGTGCCACCTGCTGACGGTGCGCAGCAGCTTCGTCGACACACAACTTTTGAGGCTACATGTCCTGCAATACGTGATTAGTGAACGCGACCTAGGTATAATCGTCTAAGAGAGTCTTGGAAATTCGCTACAATGTTCGAAAGCAGCAAGTGTAGCGAACTTGAACTTGAGACTTTTGAGGCGAGCTCTCGGCACTTTTGAGCGACAGTTAGTACCAATTTTGTTTAACTCCTATATTCGTCCTCATGTTGAATTTGCAATTCAGGCCTGGTGTCCATGGTTAAAACGAGACATCCGCCTCTTGGAACAGCCCCAAAGAAGAGCCACAAAAGCAACGCGTGGACTATCCGGTATAAGTTACGAAATGCGTCTTCATGTACTCGGTGTGTTCTCATTAGAATGCCGACGGCTTCGCGGAGATCTTACTCTTACATACCGGATATTAACCGAAAGCGAGCATCCATGTACATCACTGTTGACTCTAGCCCCATAAAAACAAAACTGCGGCAACCACCTGAAACTAATGACGCAACACTGTCGTTTAAATTGTAGAAAGTATTTTTTCTCACTTAGAATCAGTTCTCACTGGGATGTATTACCAAACTATGTGGTGAACGCAACAGACATGACGACATTCGTAAGACTCTTAGATCTTCATCTTAGTGATAAACGATACACAACACTTTGTTAAAGTGCAATGATTTAACCACTGATTCCGTTCCACGTTGGAACATTTTGATTTTAATTTTCTTTTGCATATCCATCCTGTGGTCTTGTAAAGTTCTGCTTTTTATCCCATCATACACCATTGAACCATTGAACATCTTAGTATTTACGTCTTAGACACATGGTTTCGCACGCAACTTTATCGTGTGGCAAGGGTTCTGAAACCGCAAAATATCGCGCAGTGATCCTCTTTCGTGTGCCCACAGAAATGCAGGAAGAAATCATCTCTGAGTCTTCAGCCGACCACCCAGGATGCCAAAGCATCATAACACCGTAACGGCAAGGTTTCCGTCAAACCGTCTATGTACAACCAACCTACTGATTGGACGCACTAGTTGAACGGAAGCGGTCGACAAATGGGATGTGACGTAAGTCCGTTGCCTCGAGCTTTCCACAACCTTAAGTGGTCTGGACCACCACATTCTGCTTCACAGACTGGAATGCTAAGCATTTGCGATCCTATCCTTTGGTGGATCATAAATCTCGTATAGAAGCGGTAACTGCAAATCCAAATGCGCCGTCCGATCCGATTCATGTCGAATGGGAATTTACAAAATCATCACTTCTTGGACCTCGTCTGTTTCTCATGCTTTTTTTTAGCTTAGGCGTCTGATGGCCTCGGATTTATTGCCTTTCGCTGACGACGGTAGGTTGGGTATGATGATTGCGGACAAGGATATTACGATGTAATCCACCGAGAACTGAACCGTACGTATAAATGGCCATTCCGCAATCACCCATTTAATTCATCCAAATGAAAGGTGGTCTATCTTCTTCATCAACCAACCGGTATATACAACCTCGTAGGCCAAGTATGGCATGTGGTCAGCCAGGGTCGCGACCAAGGGACATTCATTCAAGCTGAGTTCGGTTGCTCAAAGCAGTCAGAGATGGCATCACAGCCTGCGAACCTGCACTATGGTCTTCTGCGGAGAACATTCGGACGATTTGATCCATCTCACTGCCCTAAGATGTTTAACAAATATGTGCGGCCTCGTGTGGAACACGCTTTCCCGACTTCGTAATCACGGCACAACTAAGATTTAGCAACACTGGCGGTCCCGTAGTGGAACGTCATAAAGCACGTCAAATAATTATTTCACCTTCCATACCAAATTAGATTGAGGAACATAAAATTGAACAACCATCAGCATTGTCGTCTAGGCGGCGACATAACAATAGCCTACCGGAGTCTTAAGAACGACAAGCACTTCTACCACCACTTACCACATCTTAGTCACAAGACGAAACTGACAGGTCGCAAATGCAATTTTCCCACGCAAAGACGCTCGCTAGAAAGTAGCCGAATCTCTTAATTTCCTCGTGTCTGCCGGCATTGGAACACCCTCTTAAATTAATCTGCGTCTTCTCCTACCTTAGTGAGGTTATAACACGCCTTGATTTTGCACTAATCCATCTATATATTGAATAGTAGCCGTGTGAATCATGAGACGGTATAGGGGAACAAGCATTGAACCAACCAGTATCACACCAAATAATCGTGATGGGCTACCTTAAGTATGTCTCAATGTGAACACTAGGTTGAGTCTAGCAAAACACATTTCACTTTATTACCATATTTTCTGCACCATTTGGTGGTTCTCATTCCGACCATCCGACTGTATTTGTTAAGCGCATGCTTTTTACGTATAACATACTAGTTCACCATTGTATATCCTTATCACAACAATATCCAGACAGGTAGAAGAACACGAAGACTAATTTCCTTATGATGTGCTGAAATTAAGGATCCTAAATATCATCACAGCTACTTTGGATAAATATGCCTTGTGATGAGGATGAAAGCAGTCGGAATGTACCCCTGAGATATGCATCAGAAGTCAAAAAGCCAGTTCCAAAAATATTATAGTTGCAGGGCAGCTTTAACTGGCTCAGAAAGCATCTCAGTTTGCCTTTGCTATACATACAACACTGTCGTGTGTTGTTACCTAAGGAGAACCGAATACATACTGCCCCAGAAGCGGCAACCGAAAAGAATTGATTCGTTTGAAATCACAGACCCACTATTTGGTCGGATGACATCGTATATAAACGAACTTGACCAAATAGTCACTCTGGGTAATCATAACTCCTTCCCACTTCCAAGCACTAGTGGTGTCATCCAAGGGAGTGCACATGGTCCTTCCCTTTTCCTACTTTA